ATCGTTGATCCCATTTATACGAGAACGAATTTTCCAGTAGTCTTCCTCTATTTTCAAGATGTTGTTATAATCAGATATAAGATCATTTTCTAGTAGGTATAGAAAATGGCTAGTGGGATACTTTGGGAAGGATTGAATACCTAGTAGTCTCGCAAGGATTCTGTTTTGTTCCTATTAGTATTACCAAAGGTAGCCTTTGCCCAGTGCATAACCTTATGTTGGAAATAGTCAGTGGCCTCAAGAAGTTGTCTCTCATGCCAAGAGTCTTTGACAATGGTGTCAAATTCATTGTGATAACACCAAAATGTTTCAAGCCTAAAGAGTTACTTACTAAGGGAAGGGGCAGACTTGGTGAATTGGAGAAGTAGAGGGGTATGGTTGAGTGAGTTCGAGGTAAATGAGTGATAGACGCATCGGGGTATTGGTCGATCCACAGTGTGTTGGCAAGACATCTTTCAAGTTGTTCTAGGATTAGACCATTAGAGTTAATTCTGCGGTTAGTCCAGGTATATTTTGCACCTTTGAAGCGTAGGTCTATTAAGTTGCAATAATTCACACATGACCAAAAGCGTGAGGAGCGTTGAGTATTAGTAGGTCTACTACCCCATTTTATTTTGAGAGAGGATTTCATTAAAATCCCCTCCTACTAGCTAAGGACCTTGATAAGTATCCGTTATGGCGCAAAGGCTATTCCAAATATTACTATGCAGATTAAGAGAAGTACTAGCGTATAAAGTACTAATAAGACTAGGGGGTTGGATAAGATACCTGGAGCATTGCATGGATTTCTTGATGGGACCTGATTACGAGATTCAACGTAACTAAATTTCCAAACCATAGGATGACTACTCACCCAGCAAGGCCTACGCTTGGAACCTCCAGCATATCAAAGAAGTGAAACTTATCACGGAGAGAGGTGTGATTAGTCATCTTGGTTTCCAACAGTGCAACCATGGCAGGGTTATAAGTATTAAGCAGTTCCCTAAAATTTCTTTTAAAAGCATCATTGTTCGCACCTCTAATGCTCCAAACTACCAGACTTATTGATCTATTCATTGGGAGATGACCGTTGTTGAGATTGTTGTTCCCTAGCCCCTCCCGAAGGAGTTGAGTGAATTTCCTCACAGATGGGCTCAGTACTATTGCGAAGTTCCCTGTCGGTTCTAGGATTGGAGGTCCGATGTCAACAGAGCACTTGTAAAGGGCCATTGGACACTTGAATATGTACTTCTTATCCTCCATCTCTTGAAAGATCATGAGAGATGCTTCTCTGATGCTTGAGATTTCGGTGAACGATCCCCTGACCTATGGAATGATTATTTCCTCTACCATCTCTTCTAGTATCTCTTGGTCCTCTTGTTCTTGCTCGTTGTGAGGGTGTTATTGATTGTGGATATCCAGTGGGATCAGATTGTGTTGTGGGATTGGCTGCCATGGGTAAAATATAGGATGGTCCGTCACTTGATTAACTAGAGTGAAGGGGAGTTGATATAGTAACTCCATGTTGTTGAGGGGATTGAAGTTTTGTGTGAGGTTCTAGTGTGCTTGCATGTTGTGAAAGAAGGCAGGAGCTAGAGCTGGGGATAATGGATAGAGAACGTTGGCTATCCACATGTGATTTATGTAATTCCACATTGCTAGGGCCATACCTTCCGAGATCGGTTGTGCTAGGAAGTTCGGATTCTATAGAACAATCCATACTTCCTGTCCATTGATGATCATCGGGAAGAAGGCTACATAGCCTCGTAGCCCCTGTTCTATCCAAGTTTGTGGGACTTGGTTGGGAGTTGGGGGTGGTGATACAAAAGTTGGGGGGAGGGGGGGGGGGGGGTAAGGGTGAAAGGGAATCTGTGGTGGAAAAGGTGGAAAGTGATCCATCATTGTCCTTAGCGTGATTGTGAGGGGATTTTTGCTTTGTAGTGGATGGTTTGTACGATGTGCAAGGTTTTCCAAGAGGAAAAATATATATGGTGTGGTTGAGTGCATATTTGGTGTTAATGATTGAAAATCAAAATGAGAAGATTTTGCATGCATGGGAGAAGGGGGAGATTGGGGAGGAGGATTACTGGTGATTGGAGGGAGCATTGTCATTGACACTTTGCTAATGTCTTTTGCCAAGTGTTCCTGTAAATTTTGGGCATTAGAAGGAGAGGCAGTATGTAAGCTGTCCGTATAGGCAGTGCGCTTAGTTGGCATTGAGTTGGCAATAAGAATAGGGTTGAGTAGATGCATGCATTGGGTTGCCACGTGTGCCGTCTTTAGTGGCTGCTCTTGTAGGGCCTAGGGAGAGCTTTGGAGTAATCAAAGGGGATGAGTATGAAGAATGTTTGTCACTGAAAGAATTTGATTATTTTCTGCAGTGATAGAAGTGGATTCCTGAATTAATAGAGAATCAAATTTATTAGAAATGGGTATTAAATCATCTTCCTTAATATTAGGAGGATGGATTACATTAATATTGTTAGGGCCCATATTGTCAGAATTATTAAAGAGTATAGGGTTATTAATAGCTTTGTAAGTTAATTTCTGGGTGTTGAGATACTTATCTGACACTGCGTCATAGATTTTAACATCGATACTAGTACCAGGTTGTGAATTAGTGGCTAGGGAAGTCCCCTGTTGTTTTTCCAACGGTTTCCCTTTTCCTTGGTTCCTCCGCTTGTTGAAGGTGACTAATTGCCATTGATTTTCTGGTGGAGGTTGACTCTTTTCTTTATCAAAGTCCTGTGAGCTGTTGTTATAATTCGGTGTTGTCCCTATATTTTTTGATACTTGAGGACATGTGTTAATTGTGTGCCCAAGGTGGCCACAACTTTTGCATAGGAAATTATTCCCTTCATAAATCAGTTGTTGTAGGTGTGTGCCTATTAGGATGCATGTTTGAACTGGTCTATCTAATGGCAAGACGCGCGTATCTTCCTCTGAGGGTAGCACTGGTGCAGGCGTCAATCTTGAGGAGCTTCCTAATTGAATTGTCAATTTTATTTAGTATTATGCCGTTATAGAATTTTGTAGGAAGTTGTGGTAGTCGAACTCAGACTGCCGTGTGAATTTGTTTGGCGTTCTCTGCTACAAAATTTGGTTTCCACTGTCGCATTGAAAGAAAGTAGCCATTAATGAACCATGGGCCATTTTTGAAGAGCTTGTGTCATACTTTCTTCCTTAGTGAACTTGATAATGAAGTAGTCATGGCCCAGATCAATTAGAGGAAAAGGTTCAGTGGGTTTCTAAAGTTTTACAATTTTTTCTCTTAGGTATTGATGTAGGATTCTTTTTCCAATCAATTTAACAATCAAAGAGTATTTCCACGGCGAGTACATCCTATTTCGGTCGGCGTCAGTTAATGTTACTTCCTTGATGCCCTTAGTACTAGTAGTAGGAATGTCTAACATCATGTTTTCCATGATTGTGTCGTCTTGAGATTCTTGGGCATTTAAGTTGATAGGGATAGGGGGCTATCTTGGATCATTGAGTTGATGTCTGCCATGGATTCATAGGCTAGTAATTTTTCCTTGAAAGATGGAAATTGGGTGTGTTGTTCCCCACGCTTGAGTTCCTTGGTAATGTCAGGAGGTTTTGGGGGATGTGTGAGTTCAGTTCCCCGTCTGAGTTGTTGATGATGACGTTGCTCATAGGAGAGAGATGTTTTTATGGCAATCCAATTACAAAGCTTGAATATGTTAACGGAAAAATTGGTTTCTTGATTTGTTTCTATGTACTTTTGCTTGTGGGAACTTCCTGTTTTACCATACCCCTTGAAACTATTCTTAGAAATTCTTTTTACCAAAAAAGAATTAGAATAAAAATACTTTTGGGGAAAATTATTCGTGTTTGTGTACTTAATTTGAAAAGTATTTTGGAGTAGCATTTTATGTTTGTCAAACTTTTCAAAAAAGTGCTAAGTATCAAAATATGAACAAGGACATGAACATATTTACTTAAATCGTTAATATTATTTAAGTAGATAAACAATTATGAAAGATAATAATTAAGTTTTTTATTTTTATGAAGTAACATATGAAAATATATGAAAAAGTACTTTATTCTTTCAATGATTTAAATATATAAAAAATCATTCAACAACTATAAAAGTGTTCACCCCAAAATCACCATATATTAGAAATCTATCTTAAAAATAAAAAAAATATACATATACATTAGGATAATTACGTTTAGATTAAATTGAGTAAGGCTATTTTGGTACACAATTTTTGCTAAGTGTACTTTTGCCAAGAGAAAATTTAAAAATAACTTTAGCTTCTTGGGAGAAACTACTTTTTTTCAGCCTCTGAAAAATAACTTATGCTTCTATTCAAAATTATTTTTTTCCTCCTAAAAGGCCAACCACTTCAAATTTGAAAAAAAAAAAATAAAACACTTTTTTGGAGGAAAAAACACTTTTGACCTTGAAAAGCTTAACCAAACATGTTATAAGTGCCCGTTTGGTCATAAAATTTGATGGAAGATTTTTCCAAGAAAATTTTACTTTTTTTTCAAAATCAGTGTTTGTACATAAAATTTCCAATTTTCACTTGAAGATGCATTTGAAAATTTTCGAAAATTTGAAAAACTGCAAAAAGCTGTTTTTCAAAATTTTCACTCAAATCACTCACAAAACTTAAAAAAAATCCAAACTGAAATTATGTCCAAACACAACTCTAAATTTCAAATACCATTTTCATTGGAAAAATTTTTTCACCATTTTTTCAAATTTTACAATTCTTATGTCCAAACGCCTACTAAGTGTTGGTTGGAATAAGTAATATAGTTAAAATTAAAATAGTTATAAGAAAAATAGTCTTTTCCCGCAAGCATAAGTCGTTTTATAATTTTTGATGGAATATGTTTTTCTTAAAAATATCCTCTAATAATCAAATACCAAAAAATGATTTCCACAAGAATTTTCATAAAAAAAAAAGCTTTTGTCATACCAAACACATCCTTAAACAAAAACAAAAAAGGGAAAAAGAGAAGAAAAAGGGAACAAACGCTGACCAGGGCTCTGTTTCCAGTGATAAAATCATAAAATAGTGAGTGAACAGTTCATAATTAGAAAAAAATAAAAAGGGGCGCAGAAAAAGATCGGAGGAACAGGGTTCTTAATTAGGGTTACCTTTGATCTCTGCTCCTCTCTCTCTCTATGTACGATAAGTTAATACTTCCGCCAAAAGATCGTTCTTCTTATCGGGTCGCAGTCAGATCAAATTAGCACATTTTATTAGGGTTTTTGGATACTGATAAGTCGGCGAATTTGACTGTTGTGATTTGATAATAAAAATCTCTATTCATCCATTGGATTTAAGATTTATATTTGTTTACCGAACCGAATTTTTTTGCATTTGTAAATATGCGAGGACAGCAGAAATCAAAAAGAGTTACTTGGGCTTCAGATGTAAACCTTTGTCAGGTAAAATCTTTATAAGGATCCATAATTTTCCTCATTTCTTCTGTAATTATCTGTCCAATCCCAGTGTTAAATAACCAAAAAAGAAAGAAAAAAAAATTGAAAACTAATGAACTCAAAGTGTTGATAAACAATTTCGTTTTGCTCAAATTCGAATGAAATAGGTCCAAAATTGGAATGGATTTTGACGACGTTTTGCTCAAATTTCATTGTTTTTGTTGTTGGATTTATCTTTTAATCCCGATTTCTCAAATTTATCATTGCTAGTTACATTAAAATTGTTTAGTTTTGAATGGTATAAGGAATGACATGGCATTAATTTCTCAGTACTTTCAACTTTGTTTCAGAAGTCATATGTTTAAGGCATCACCAGAATTTATCAATTCTGCAACCGAAAGCTAATGTTAACATTTTGAAAGCCAAACTAGTTCGGAGTTGAGGGGTAATTGATTGATGTATTTATTGAATGATTGATGGAAAGCTAATTTTAGCAGAAAGAGATAGCTAAATAATTCAGTTTAGTTTGAAACCAAAGAATCCAGTAATATGTGTTGATCAAAATTTCTCAAGTGTACTCGTCCAAAAAATTGAGGAGAAGAGAAAAAGTAGATATAGTCTTCAGCTTTAAGTGCTTGGTCACAAAATGGTCTTCAATTTTAAGTGAAGTACTACTTTCTAAATTTATTCTACTTTGCTTCTGTATGCTTACTTTGCATGAAGCTAATCACCGCTTAATGGCATAAATCAATACAATGCACGAGTTTAGTTAAAAAGAGAAAAGAGGAAACAAGTGAACAGAGTCTTCTTCTTCTTCCTGGTTAATGATGGTGTCTAATTAGCTTTTGTGCACATTGACTACTCCACTAGATACTCATTCTCCCACCGACGTAGTTACTTGTTAACTTCACCAACCAAGGTTTAGATACATACGCTAGCATTCCTGACTAATTCTCTTGTTGTAGAATGTTGACAAGTTTTGATAATCTACTATCAGAAGCTAATATCAGTGAAACATGTAAAGAACCTTTAGGGAATTCCTAATATATCTTAAAAGATAAATTATTTGGGTGTTGAAATGGAATCAATCTAAATCGAGTGGGATGTTTGAGGATACATATATCTGGCCCCAATTGTTTTGGGTTTGAGGCGTAACTGTTGTTGTACCCTTAAAAGCTACGTGGAGAAAATTCCTTCTCAGATGGTTCATGCTGGTTAAATTTACACTTGATAGTCACAGAACTTAAAGATATCTCCTTTTCCATTAAAAGAATTGAAATAATAAAAAAGAAAACAAAACTTAAGGATCACCATTCTTTCCGAAAGTTAGCGGAGAGCATAGACGAGGAGAAGAAGAGGGAGAATAGGGAGTGCTATAAGAAGGTTAAGAAGGAGGCTAAATTAGCGGTTTCGGCAGCCAAGACTGCAGTGTTTGGATGTCTATATGAAGAACTCGGGAACAAAGGCAGGGATAAGAAGGTGTTCAGGCTAGCCAAGGCGAGAGAGAGGAAGGCCCGAGATTACGACCAAGTGAAGTGCATCAAAGATGAGGAAGACAAAGTTTTGATGGAAAAGACACTTATGAGACGAAGATGCCAGACGTACTTCTAGGGATAGGAACATTGTGCTGGGTGAGTTGGAACACCCTGAGAGCAATCAAGTTTTTGGGTATTGTAGTGTATAACAATTGCGGAGGTCGAGGGGGCTATGCGTTGAGTTGCTCGGACTTTGGTGCCGGTATCCGATACGGGGACGGATCCTAGTATCAGATTCGACAAAATCTAAATTTTAAGATTTGGGTGTGCGGATCCGAATATGGATACGGGTGCGAGGATTCGGCTAATAAAAAATAGAGCTTTAAAAATTTGTAAATTTTGAGAGATATTCTGTGAATAACTTACATGAATATTTTCATTCTCCAAGATGGACATTATTCTTTCATTCTCTTAAATCTGTTTTATTTTTGATTTTGAGAAATAAAAACCTTAGTTTTTCTCCCAATTTGTCGATGGACTCCGGTCAAAGTGTCCAAAGTCAGTTGTCCGAATTCGGGACGTATCCGCTTCCGCTCCCGTCCCCATCTCGTATTGGAACAGGGACGACACCAAAATCAAAGAGTTTGCTTAACTTAGGCAATGCGTAAGATGAGTAGGGGAAGAGAGACGGGGCCAAACAAAATTCCAGTAGATTTGGAGGAACGGGGGCGTGGCCGGCTTGGAGTGGCTTTAGGTTGTTTAATGTCATTTTTAGGCCAAAGAAGATGGCCGAAGAGTGGAGGTGGAGTACGATGATTATGTTGTATAAGAACAAGGGCGATATCCAAAATTGCAATAATTATATGGGTATCAAATTGTTAAGCCGTACTATGAAGTTTGGAAGAGGGTGGTGGAAGTGTGGGTGATGAGTGTGTCTATTTTCGAGAACCAATTCGGATTCATACCGAGGCGTTCTACTACGGAAGCTATTCACCTTATTAGGAGATTGGTGAAACACTATAGGGAGAGGAAGAGGGACTTGAATATGGTATTCATTGACCTAGAATAAGCATATGACAAAATCCCTATAGAGGTCTTGTGGAAATTTTTTAGAGGCTAGAGGTATTCTAGTGGCTTATACTAGGGTGATAAAGGACATGTATGATGGAGCTAGACAGTGAGAGACTCGGAACACTTTACTGTTATGATGAGTTGCACCACAGATCAACCCCTAGCCCGTTTTTATTTGCCTTGGCGATGGACGCATTAATGCGGCACATTCAAGGAGAGGTGCCATGGTGTATGTTATTTGCAAATGACATTGTATTGATTGACGAGACGCAAGTTGGGGTGAACGCGAGATTGGAGGTTTGGAGATAGACCCTGGAGTCTAAAGGTTTCAAGCTGAGTAGGATCAAGACTGAATACTTGTAGTGCAAGTTCAGTGATGTGACTCATGAAGCAGATGTGGACGGAAGGTTTGATACACAAGTCATCCCCCACAGGGGCGGAGCTAGCATAGGGCTTGCGGTTTCGGTCGAATCCAGTAACTTTGGTCCATATCATGTATTTGTCTTAAAAATTCATTGAATATATATAAATTGTTAATTTAGAACCCAGTAACATAAACGAAATAGAATCTCGAAACCACAAACTTTAAATCCTAGCTCCGCCTCTTATCCCCAAGAAAGGAAGTTTCAAGTACCTTGGGTTAGTGATTCAAGGTAATGGAGAGATTAACGAGGATGTTACTAATCATATTGGTGCGGGGTGGATGAAGTGGAGGCTCGCATCCGGTGTTAATGTACCACCAAAACTTAGAGGTAAGTTTTACTACGCGGTGGTTAGACCGACTATGTAGTATGTGGCTGAAGGTTGGTCTGTCAAGAACTCTTACATCCACAGGATGAAGGTAGCAGAAATGAGGATGTTGAGATGGATGTGCAGACCTATCAGATTAGATAAGATTGTGAATGAAGTTATTCGGGACAAGGTGGGCGTGGCCCCATGGCGGACACGATGCGGGAAGTTGGGCATGTGAAGAGGAGAGGCACTGATGTCCCAGTGAGTAGATGTGAGAGGTTGGCCTTGGTGGGTTTGAGAAGAGGTAGACATAGGCCAAAGAAGCATCGGAGAGAGGTGATTAGGCAGGACATGCCGCTGCTTCGGCTTACCGAAGATATGACCCTTGATAGGAAGGTGTGGAGGTCGAGGATTAGGGTAGAAGACTTGTAGGTAATCGTGCGTTTCCCTGTCCAAACCAGCAGTACTATGGTTAGTCTTGTACTTTCCTATTTTTCGTGAGTTTCTATTACTGCATGTTGTTTCTTCCGCTTTGGTTTGTCTTGTTATTTTGCTGATGTTGGATTAGTTGCTACTGCTTCTTTTTGCATCTTTCCTTGTGCCGAGGGTCTACGGGAAACTGCCTCTTTACCTTATTAAAATAGGGTAAGGTCTGCGTACACACTACCCTTCCCAGATCCCACTCATGGGTTTACACTAGATTTTTTGTTGTTGTTGTTGTTGTATAGATAGAAACTTGTTGATAAATACATGCTGGCATCCCGTATATGTTAGGTTACCAGCAATGAGATTGACATATGAAGGTGGGAAAGACAGAAGAGCACAAGGAGATGAGTTTTCATTAGTTCGATCATGCTGAAATGATGTTTCGCTTTAAAGGGTCTCAACTATTTTACTTTTGAAGTGGCCAGTAGTCTTGTGCATCAGTTTGCATTAGGGTTTAGAAGCTGTTGCAGTGACAAATGAACAAAGTAACGGTCTTCCTTTGGTTTGATTTATGGTATCAGAAGTCATGAAGAGTAATCATGTAGCGTGTACACTTGTTATATGTGAAGAAGAAGAAAAAAAAGGTCCAGTTAAATACGACGAGTATGATAGCGTTATCATAGTCTTAGTGTTTTACAATGTAAAGGTCTCACATCGAATATAAGTTGAGGAAGATGGGTAAAAGAAGCACTGGGATGGGGGGGGGGGGGGGGTAGGCGTGAAAAATATCACTGACAAGCCAAAACACAATCAAATAAAAAAAGTACCAATGATAAGCTTGGTTTGGGAGACTCAATTTTCCACTTACCGGAGAAGAGTAGTGGAAGCTTATATTGGTACAGATGCTATGTTAGCCACCAATTCTCATGCATATTAGGTTGAAACCATTTAATCTAAAAAAAAAACTAGTCCCCAAATTCTATTGCAACAAGTATTCATGAGAGCAAGAAAAGTTTGTGTTAATGATCTCTGAGATCACGTGTTGCTTGTCTCGCTGCTATTGAAGTTACCTTGTCTCTTTTAAGTTTGTCCTAGACTGCTATTTCATTCAGATCGTACTTCTCTAATGCGGTAATATGCAGCTTTCTGTTTCTCTGGTTTGTGCTTTGTCTGTTTCCTCATCCTTCGGTTAGTCAGGGACTTTCTTCTTTCCTTATCTTCCTTTGTGCTTTATCCTTATTTTTTTTTGTTACGGGAGTTGGGAAAGGGAAGTAGTGGGTTTCAAATTTCTTGTTTGAGTTGGGCTATAGTGGGAAAATCGCAGTCGTCCGCGGAGGCGAGAAAGAAGTGTCACACTTGCTCACTTAGGTTGATGATTGAATAAACGGATGAAATTGGTATGTAATTACTTAAATTTGGTGGCATATTTGAGTGAGGTTGTGTAAGTGCATCACCGTCGCTCAAAAAGCCAATGCAGTAGGTCAAAATGTAGGAACAATGCAGTAACAACAGGAATTCCCATTTTGTTTTATGCACTTTCTTGCTAGGTCAGAATCTCACCTCAGATCTTCTATGGTATTTTCGTCTTATATGAGATTTATTAGTTCATATTCAGCGATTTTTATGGATCAGTACCTGTATTTGAATAATGATGTGTTCTGGAACCTATCTTAGTCAACCTTTTCTCTGAATAGGGTATATATGTGTTGATTGACTGATGTTGCTGAATTGATTGCTTTTCTTTCTAATAGGATAATTCTTTCTTTTAATAGGTAAGACTTTTCCTTTCTGAAGAATCCCCTGCCCAAGTTGGATTAGGAGCTCAAGATCACCTCCAAGCAAAGATATCATGGCCTTTGCACGCAGGTGTTTTGGTGTCTGATGATAATTTACCACCAGGCTTCGAAGGTGCACAGCCTGCAAGCCTCTGGAAGAATAAATTAGCTCAAATCCCTGTGATCAAATGGACTCGTCCTCCCTCTGTGAGTTTTTTTTTTTTTTTCCAGATAATACTTTATTAGTAAGCACTATTTAGGGTATCATTGCAGTAATAGTTATGAGTTATGACTCTCCTCATGAATGAATTAAAAAAAAACTCAGGGTATTGACTTCTGCAGTTTGACTTATTATAATGTCTAAAGATGAACACATAGGCTACTGATCAAGGAGAAAAAAGAAACCATATAGTCTATCCACTGATCAAAGAAGTATAGTCTATCTGCTACTAGTTTGAATTTATAATCTGTGTGCGAGGAGTTTCAGAATTTGAATTTGCTGTGGTATTAGTTAGTAAAAAGACAAATGAGGTGCTTATTCTGATCCTGCATGTTAACAAGGCTGAATGGCTGAGTTGTATAAACTATCGTTTCGATGTAGAGAAAAGATTGCAAAACAGAAAGAGACTTTCTATTTGATTATTTTGAAAAACAACCCATCAAAAAAGTACATTGACATAATTTTTTTTTTTTAAAAAAATAAAAAGATCTTCCCTTACTCCTTTTAAATCTGCAGTGCCAAAGTATTGGAAGTTCCAGGTACATAAACAATTAACAAACTAGCAAACTTCCAAAGTAACCATCCCAAGTCTTTTGCTGGACGGAGTATACCAAGCAAGCCAAAATCAAATCCTTTGTCTTGCTGAAACCCAATATTTAATAAGGAAAGACTCTCACAAAGTCTGTCTTTAGACGAGAAATTCCGAAGTAAAATCATTTCTTGCATCTAGAATGATAATGTCAAGCTGGCGATGCATCGAAGACTGCAACAGATAATTTTTGACCAAAAAATTGTAGTATCTTGCCACTCAGATGTAGAAGAACTCAATGCTAGTACCTGCATTGATCAAAAGGTGTGGCATTGACAGCTGTGTGAGAAATTCCAATAATTAGGAAAGTTTCCTTAGTCTAAACTTTCCTTAATTCATGTCGGTTAAAATTTTCTCATTTCATGTAGTTTACATTTTCGTTATGTCATTTTTGTCTAAATCTTTAAGAAGCCCTCTTATATGATGTTCCCCAACTCAATTGAATAAGAGTTTTGTTTCTTCCTCTTCCCTTTTCGTGGCTTCTTCGTTCTCCATGACTAAATTGGATGTTTGTGTTGTCAACCAGAGAGTTATTCTCTCTGTCACAATTTGTTGGTGCCATCTGATACCAACAAATACCAAAAGTAACCTTCTAGGGTCTGCAACAAATCATGTCAGCTCCTAGAAGAGCATCTCATTAAGGTCATAATGAAGTGTAAATGTTATAGGCTTCTAAATATAGAAAGGTGACAGTGTTTCTTGAATGACGAACAAGAAAAGAATGCCAAACAAATTGGGATAGGAGTAATGTATAAGTGGGGGATGAAACTAGAAAGACGTTTCTCCAACCCATACAACAACAACTACCTAGTATAATCCCGCACAGTGGGGTCTGGGGAGGGTAGTGTGTACGCAGACCTTACCCCTACCCTGAGGTAGAGAGGCTGTTTCCGATAGACCCTCGACACAAGAAGACGAAATGCGACGATAGAATAATAACAACATAACCAGAAAGAAAGTACCAGCAGGCCAAGAATCAGAAAATATATCTGGAAAAGCAATGTCAATAATCAGTGCAGTGACGAGGTCCTAGAAAATAGTATGAGCACAACATGAACCTCTAGCATACTGAAACACGACACTAACCGACTAGACTTACACACAGAGCGGAGCAGGAAAACGCTCACTACCTACTAACCTACTACCCTAATGTTCTCCCTTCATACCTTCCTATCAAGGGCCATGTCCTCGGTGAGCTGAAGTCGCGCCATGTCCTACCTGATCATCTCTCCCCAATACTTCTTTGGCCGCCCTCTACCTCTTCTCAGACCCGTCAAAGCCAATCGCTCGCACCTCCTAACATGGGCATCTAGGCTTTTACTCTGCACGTGCCCGAACTACCTAAGCCTCACTTCACGCATTTTGTCTTCCATGGGAGCCACGCCCACCCTGTCTGAATACCTTCATTCTTAATCTTATCCAACCTCGTTTGCTCGCACATCCATCTCAACATCCTCATTTCTGCTACTTTCATCTTCTGGATATGGGCAATTTTGACTGGCCAACATTCTGTCCTATACAACATGGCCGGTCTAACCACCGCTCTGTAGAACCTGCTTTTAAGTTTCGGGGGCTCCTTCTTGTTACACAAAACGCCAAATGCTAACCTCCATTTCATCCAACCTGCCCCTATACGGTGCGTGACATCCTCGTTGATCTCCCTGTTCCCCTGGATAATCGACCCTAGGTACTTAGAACTTCCTTTCTTGAGATGACTTGTGAGTCAAGACTCACGTCGCTGTTCACTCCCCCCGATTTCAAAATGATCACTTGTTTCCTCCTAGGTAGCCAATTGGAACAAATGAGTCAATACTTGGATACAGCTTCCAATATACAACTTGGACATACATTTTTTCTGGCAAGTATACACCACTTGGATTAGGTCAGATTTTCATTTTGCATTCTACTCGTTTTGACAGAGGCTATGAATTGCTAGATTTCTCTACAAAATGAATCGCCTTTAGAGCATATGGATAATGCAAATACTAATGTAAATTCGGTACAAAAGAATTTTATCTCGAACACATATAGCCTCCACATTCCTCCTTTAACCTGCTAACCGTTCCCTAGTAATAATGTTCTTTTCTTATTAATTCCTCATCGAACAGAATCACATGATTACCTCTTAATCCAGAGAGTATTTCTCTTTGAATCCTGATCAAAGGTACCATAGAGAAATGCTGAGGAGAGTGGAGCATGGATCTAAGAACTCCGTCCTTCTACCTTATTAAAAGAAAAAAAGAACTCCATCCTCCTACAAAATCCAGTTGGGATGACCCTGATAATACAAAAGGCAGCACAAATATTGTCAAAACACCAAGATTCCACATTACATCTGAGACATTTCGCTAGATGTTTAAGTACCGGGAGAAAATTGGAAGCATTGACCCTAAATTATGTTGATTAACAAGAATGGAAGAGCAGAAATTAAAATGAAAAGTTGGTAGTTTACTCTGTGTGTGGTATTTATGTGTTGTACTTGAAGTTCTTTCTTGTTTTCCCGTGACTTTGTAATGTTGAGGCCACATAAACATCAGCTGTTGAGAGAGTATATGTGTTGGAATTAATAGTTTATCTCAAGCAGTATTGAGGGGAAAAGAAAAAAGAAGAAAGGAGTCATGTTATGTCAGATTGTGGAACATTTTTTTATTTATTTCAAGCAACATCGGCATATTGTTTCTTCTTTTCCGTTTTTCCCTTTTTCCTTCTGATGATATAGATTCACATTAGAAATGCGAGCCCCCCCCAACCCCCCACCCACCCAACCCACACACACACACAAACAAAAAAAAGAAAATTAAAAAACAGTTCCCAAAGTTAAAACATAATGGCGAAATTGTCCGTTTGTGGACCCTTAAGCATGCAACTATGCAGCAGATAGTCATGGTATCAGTGTATTAATTTCTACACTGCCCTTCATTCTAACAGTTTGTACTTGCTACAAAATGGCGAGTGGTCGCCGGTGAAGAAAGCAATGAAATGGAGGTTCAGGAAAAACGGGAGATGAGAGTGCTTGAAGCTATTTATCCACGCGAATCTTCCATTCCTCCAAAGTATGATACTTCAATCTCGTTGGAATTTTTCTATTTCGGTTTCTTTCTTCTGATAATATTTTGCTGCTTTTTTTTCTTTCTTCCTATTGATCTCCGTTTAGTTCTTGATGTTACTTCTCCTAAAATTGGCTTTTTACTTTCACGCAGTCCTTCAATGGTTCCTGGAGAAGAGACTCTTCATAATGAGCAGAACACACCTGTTATACCCATAACTCCTGTTGAAGAGGAGGAAGTAGCAGATCCATCATTTGGTACTGTGCTACCTTCGAATGCAGTTAGCTCAAAGGGGCAGGTAATGCAGTCTGGAGTTCCCTTGTCCAACAAAAGTGCCGGAAATAACCTTCCAGTCCCTGGAATCTCATCGGCTGGAGTAGTTCCTGAAGTGGAGCCTGATGTTGTAGCAGCAGCTAAGGCTGCTTTAACTGCACTCATGGCAGACAATGGCCAAGGAAATCTGATTGACCATGAGCTGCTCATAAAAATTTTGAGTGATCCAAAAATTGTTGGACAATTGGTTACACAGCAAGGAGTAGGCACCAGCTCCCATAGCGTGCCACCTACAAGTAACCAAAATATGTCTGCTGCTAGTAACATGCCCAACCCAAGGCCGCAGGCATCAAGTAGTACTGCTCCACCTCAGGCTGTAGTCAGTCGAGCTGATCCATCTTTCGTTCACACTGGTAGAACAGATCCTCCTGCAGTTCACGTCAGTAGAACAGAACTAGTTATGCCCTCGGTGGCAGGTGCTTCTAATGGGCCCTTCCACTCTGCTCCAAGTAGGATAGGACCCATTCCCAGTTTGAGGCCTCGTGTACCTGAGGTCGTATCAGCTCCTTTACCTTCTGTAGGAGCTCCAGTAGCATCCGTGTCAACACCTTCTTCGTCTATGTCAGTACCTGTAGCTAGGGACATCAACTATTACAAGAGTCTCATTCAGCAACATGGAGGGGAAAGTCAAGAAACATTGCCACAGTATAGCAACCGAAACAACCAGCATTTAGGTTCAGTTCAAGAATCAATAAATAGCTCTAATCTTAGAGATTCAAAACCTAAGATAATGAAGCCTTGCATCTATTTTAATAGTTCAAAGGGATGCCGCCATGGCGTGAACTGTGCGTATTTACATGATGCATCCTCGCAACAGAGAGTTGGTAGCTTGCCAGAGGTGCAAAATTCAAAGAGAATGAAAATGGATAGGGAGATTACTGGTACATAGTAATGCAGTTGGCACTTCCGTGTACATTATTTTTTTCTCAAAAGGAATTGCTTGTTGCAGCTCGGCCATTTTTTTAAACCCTTTTTACCTTCTTTCTTTATTCCCTACAATGAGCCAATTTCGTTAAATACTTACTTTAGCAAGATATGTCGGGTTTTTGCCCCAATTACTTTACAAATCAGTGATAAATTCCTTCTCTTTTCTTTTTTGGTACTTTTATTATGATGCTTGATGTCCAATTAAGTTATTTTTTTATAAGTTAATGTGTTCTAGTGGCTGGCCCTAAGCATTTCGAGTCTTCTTTGCAACCCCCCCCCCCCCCCTCAACCCACTCAACCCACAATCATTGTGGAAATTTTATAATGCTACCCATTAGACTTGTAAAGTACCTATAAAGAAGTTGATATAAACACATGTTTGACATATGGGGGTAAGGTGATCTTTTAGCACCACGACAAAGTACCTATAGTTAATTTGACTAATGTTACTCGAGGTGTGAAGTGGTAAGAATTAGGCAATTTAACCCTTCAAACTTTAGAGTTCTCTTGAAGAATCCAACATCTAACTCGAGGTGTCTTAGCAAATGAAGACGATAGGTAGGTGGAGTAACACGAAAATTCATAGTTGGACACTTTTGAAGTATTCAAATATTGATAGCCATAATGTACTTATGTAGAAAAGTAACTAAATACTACACCAAGTATAGTTAGTAGATGGAGGTTTTGTTCCTGTTGGATGAACATATCTTAGGTTCAGCAAATCTTGACAAAGTAGTTGGCTTAGATAGTGTAATGTCTTAGTTACAGAACTTCACAAGAAAAAGAAAATGGAAGGCATCAAGAAATCTGAGAAATTATAAGTGAAAACCAATGGAGAGAAGAGATTGCAAAGGCCTAATAAATTTTAGTAGGTTATCTCTTATATTTCATGTTATTAATCTCACTTATTATGGTTGTGATTCTCTTTTAAATTAATAAACGTTCTTTTAGAGTTTAAATTCTTTTACACAATCGACGTAAAGAAGTTAGACTAAATTATTTGTCCGGATTTAAATAATATACACCGACAATATAATTTTTTTTTTTTACACTTTCGTAACTTGTAACTCACGATAGTAGGCTAGCTACTGTTTGTATAGGATTACCAATGAATATCTATAAATCGTCAATGTAGAAAACTTAAGAGAAGAATTTACCTAAATAGTCGTTCACCCTCCTTAAATTAAAAAATAGCTGGCGGATGTATAGTATGTGTATATATAAACATGTATAATCAATCGATACTGACTAAAAAAAGTAAATAATAAATTCAACCGACGATTTATGATCCCTTAGAACTCATTCGGCCTAGACAATTTCTCGGGGCATTTATATCTATACCCAGTTTTGGGGTCACAATTGAACTTATATCCATCTTGCACAAAAATTTGCAAGCCTACTCACTTCAGGATCAACTTCAGACTTATTGGGTCTGAAGTAAAAAAAAAAAAAAAAAAAAAATTAGTCTGAAGTGCAATGCACTTAAGGCCAATTAAGTCTAAAGTGCAAAGCCAAATAGGTGTGAAGTGCAACAAATATTTACATGCACTTAAGGTCAAATAACTCTAAAGTGAAAAAATTGCACTTCAGGTACACTTTAGGCCAAATAAGTCTGAAGTGCAACCAATGTTTTCATGCACTTAAGGCCAGATAGGTCTGACGTGAAAAAATTGCACTGTAGATGCACTTAAGTCCAAATAGGTCTACAGTGCAACCAATATTTTCATGCACTTAAGGCCACGTAGGTCTGAAGTGCAAATTTCTCAGAAACAGAAATTGGTTCTTCGAATTTTAACAATCCAATACACGATTTAACACCTAAATCTACTCCAAATGAGCTCAAATTTGAAACAAACCTCCAAATATCATCAAGAACAAATTCCAATCATCAATTGGTCAAAACGACAATAAATATAACAAACCCAATTTGCAATTAAGAAAAAGGAGAAACCCTAAGCAGTAGAAGAAAAAAAATGCCACAACAGCTCACCACTGTAAAATACCATAAACTACCTTAAAATATGCTCACAAATACCATATGAATTTACCATCACCTTTATTTTCACAGCGAAGAAGAAGAAGAAAAAGGAGGAGGAGGAGGAGGAGGAGGAGGAGGAGGGAGGGAGGGAGAAAATGACTTGAAGTTATTTAAATTTTGGGGTACTAGTTAAAAAGAAAAATTAAAAAGTAGGTACAGGTTAAATGGGGGTGACCAAATAGGGCATCCCGTATAATTTTTACCAATTCCTCCGGGTTGGATGGCGCAAGGTTCTTTGAGGACCCCTCCAGAAATAGCCAGATTTACAACTAGTAATTGAAAAATAGCCACAATTTCAAAAGTAATCGAAATTTAGCCACTTTTACATGTAAAGATAAAATCTGAACAAAAACACCTTTAAAAATCTGGAAACACCCCAGCATAATATGTTCGAGTTCGAATTTTTTACATATGAGATTTCAACATAATGTGCTGGAGTTCCAACATAATATGCTGGAAATTTATACGTAGGGGCTCCATAATCCAGCATATTATGCTGGAACTTTTCATGTTTTAACAAAATAGTGGCTATTTTTTAATGACTTCACAAATACTTGCTATTTTTTAATTACCAATCCGAAAATTGGTTAGCCCGTACTATTTTTCTACTTGGAACCCAAATAGACCATACAGATATTAACGGATGGTTTAAAGGGTGTTTTGTTATAAATAGAATCCTATTTATGGTGAATGTCCATATTTAGAGAGATTCTAGGGTTTATTACTTGGTGGCTAAGTCACCATCTCCCTATAAATAGAGGGTTCTATTCCATTGTAATTCATCCCAAAATTCAATAAGAATTCCTTCTCTCTTTTTCTCTGCAATACTCTTCTTCTTCTTTTATTGTTTCATAACACGTTATCAGCACGAGACTCTACCGTCTCAAGAAGCTCTTTGAGAAGATTAAGGTAATTTTTCTCCTCTTTTTAATTATGACTGATATTATGAAAAGAAAGTTCGTTGCCCTTGAAATTTCGGGCAAGAACTATATGACATGGGTGTTGGATGCTGAAATCCATTTAGATGCCATGGGTCTTGGAGACGCCATTAAAGACAGAAATAAAGCATCCACCCAAGACTGTGCTAAGGCCTTGATTTTCTTGCGCCATCACCTTGATGAAGGGTTGAAAATTGAATATGTCACAGTCAAAGATCCACTTATTTTGTGGAATGGCTTAAAAGAAAGATATGACAACTTAAAGTTGGTCACTCTTCCACAAACACGATATGATTGGGCTCATCTGAGGCTCCAAGACTTTAAGTCTGTTTCTGAATATAATTCTGCGATGTTCAGAATTACTTCTAAATTGAAACTCTGTGGAGACACTATCACTGATTATGATATGCTTGAAAAAACGTTCACAACGTTTCATGCCTCCAATATGGTCTTGCAACAGCAGTACAGAGAGAAAGGTTTCAAGAAGTACTCTGAGCTGATTTCTCTTCTCCTTGTGGCTGAGCGAAACAATGACTTGCTCATGAGAAATCACGAAAAGCGACCCACTGGGTCTACACCATTGCCTGAAATGGATGAGGTGTATTCCCATTATGCTAAGCGTGGAAAAGGCCGTGACTCTATTCGTAGTCATGATCGTGGTCATGGTCGTAGCCGTGGCCGTAGCCGTAGACAAGGAAGAAATTTTCGTGGTGTTAATCATCCCCCAAAGAGAAATAACCACCAAAAGTGGAAAGGGAAAGATGAGAAGCCAAAAGCAAATGGTTCAGAAACTGAATGCTATCGTTGCGGTGGAAAAGGGCATTGGGCAAATATTTGTTGTGTACCAAGACATTTGGTTGAGCTTTATCAAGCATCTCTAAAGAATAAAGGCCCTGAAGCCAATTGTGTCTCTGACAATGATTTTGACATCACCCACTTGGATGTGGCAGACTTCTTTGAGCGCCCTGATGGAAAAATAGACCACTTGATCGGTGATGGATCCGTGGTTAAAGATGATTGAGTAGTTCAATTTTTATTTGTGCCTGTTCGTAGTAGCTAGATAAACATCATGTAATCACAGTTCTTTACATGAGTAGTAGTCATTAGTATCAATTAATATTAATACAAACATATACAATCATAAATTACGTGTGATGTTGGAAACAATCTTGTCTTTTATTTATTATTTTATTGTTCTGTTTACTTCATACAGATAGACTACTTATATAATTTTGATAAGCAATTATAGTATACACGTAGGTTAAGAATACGGTATTTTATGTTGACTGTTTATTAGTTACTAAAGTTTTTATTATCATTACAATAACTATAGTTGCACATGATATAAAAATTAGTTAGTGTTAATAAGAACTATAGTCAGAACCATACGAGTCTGCACGTTACGAACACATAGAATCACTATGTAGTTTCATGAGTGTTCTAGTTAATGTGACGTAACAACATGCACATTATGACAAAATGACAAATAAACATGATTTATAATCTGTTGAAATTGTAACGACATTAGGATTATTGGCTATAAATAATGCAACCTTGAGTTCTAATGGCGGAAACATTTTCTTTTACTGTAATTGGACGAGGAAGACAGAATTCATGATTTGATTGAAAATCCTTCTTTCCTCCTTAAACTTCATTATATTCAAACTTTGTTTCCTTTCCTTTTTTTTCATCTGAAAATACTAATGTTGATTCGTATATTCCTTTTTGTATGTCAATCCACAGGAAGCAAATTGTCACGACCTGAATTTCCCACCCTCGGGAGTCGTGATGGCGCCTACTAATGAGAGCTAGGCAAGCCAACTTAATTAGCAATTTCATTAAACACCTATTCTTTTTTAACAATTAACAGCATTAAATAAAGAAGACGGAATTAAAATCATAAGCGGAAGACTTAAATGTAGATAGATGGTCAATAATACAGAAGTTCCAACACATATATCTCTACCCCGGGACTGGAGTCACATACCCACGAACATCTAAGGAGTACTACATACAAAGTATGAAAAAAACATAATCTGTTTATCTCGGGTACAATGAGATGACAGCCAAATGTAAAGATAGACGGGAGACGCCGGGCCTGCGGACGCCTGCAAGCTACCTCGGGTCTCTCTGGACTGAAGGTTCGCCCCCGTGCTAATGCTGCTGCTGCTGCTCAATACCTGGACCTGTGC